GGTCGCGCGCCTACATTCCTTCCTGGATGCTTCCTCTTAATGAGAAGGGCTGGGACTGTCTCTAAGCCATCCCCGTTCTTGGGTGAGTGGCCAGGACAGGGGGCATTGGGAACCTCCAGGTGGGCCGTTTAAGGGGCTGGCAGTGTTGTAATGCCAACTGGAGCCCCGCTGCCCCCCCGCAATTCCTTGAGTGTTCCCTCGATCCTGGCCAGGGTCTGGTGGGGGTATCTGTGCATGATGTAAGGACAGTTTGCCCACCAGCTGCAACCCAAACCCTGTGGCTCTATCCTGTAGTTTTCAATTATCATAAAACGTGGACCAACAGACAACTGCCTAAAAGCCTATCCAAGTTAGGCTGCCCCATTTTCTGCAGTGCCCCTGGGATCTGGCCAATATGGAAATGACACGGTCTTATGCTGAGGGGGTGGGCCATGCCCCCCCACCCCCACCACCCCCCCGCCTGCGCCGTCCTCCAGCCATCCTTCAACGGCTGGGTGTGAGCCACAGGGGGGGCTGGGGCTTGGGTGCTGGAAGGCGTCTGCAGCCAGATAAGTGTGAGGCGTCAGGGCTACGGGGTGGGTGGGGACAGGGCTGAGAGTGGCTCTAACAGCCCATGGGGCAGAGCCTCCTCCACGCCACCATTGGCTGGCCACCAACACAGTGAAGCCATCAAGTTAGTGGCAGCTCACGGACTAGACACAACCCCACAGTGGACTCCATCAAGGAGCTTCTTGCCCAGAGGGTGCTAAGACGGCACCAACGGAGGTGAAAAGCGCCCAGGAGTAACTCGGGACGTCCAGTTCCCGCCTTCTCAGCGTCTGCTCAGTCCGCGCCCTTACACAGCCTGGCGGTCCCGCGGAGCTCCCCGTGGACGTCCAGACAGCCACCTGTACGCCCCAGCCCTTCCAGCCTGTTTTGTCGCCACAGGCCTAGGTACCCCCAGGGGCCACCTCACTGGAGACCATTTGTCATCCAGCGTGTTCTCCGAACTCAAACTGGATCCCTCTGGAGGCCCTGAAGAACGCAAATGTTTCCCAAACTCAGACCGACTTTCCCTGGGTGCATCCAGCATGCCATACAACACGACAGTGAGACTGACCGCTCCTTGGGCCACATCCCAAATCAGGCTCCAGTGAGGCCAGGTCCCTGGGGACAAGGAAGAACCCTAGGCTCAGGCCAGTCTCCTGAGGTGGCACTGGCCTGAGAGGGCCTGCTGGAGCTTGCAGACTTCTGAGCCCCATCTGGTCACTGCAACTTTATCTAAAGACCCGAATTGGTCCTGAAGGGCCTTCTGCTGAGGCTGGGAGAGATGGCTGTCAAGGGGGCTAACGCCTGGCTCCACCCACAGGCAGGGCCCTCCTTGGCCTGTCCCGTGCCCACATGGACTCGCTCCACCCCACCCGCAGAGGGCGCCTCCTCCATGGCCAATCCCCCTTGCTTGGTTTCCATCCTCTGGATGGTACGAGGGCAGTGATGGCAGCTATGGTGCAGAACTGGCACCAGGCTCCATTCTCTCCGTTCATCCCCCCACCCCCAGCCCCGCAAGCAGTGGGCATCATTATCTGCTGTGGTGCCCGGAAAACAAACAAGGCACAGGCGATAAACTTGTCCCAAGTTGCAGAGTCTGGGTCCAGAAGCTGCTTTAGCCTGCCTGTCTGCCCGCCTGCCTGCACCGTGCTCCTGACGCCTGTCAGCCCCGAGAGCCTGCCCCGTCTCCCTCTCTGAACCCTGGGGAGGGCAGGAAGCCGGCAGATTCACACAGTGGAGACAGGCTGCGCTCAGAACAAGCCAATGCGCCCTCCACACCCAAGGGTGAGGGCAGACTCCCCCCCTCCCCAGGAGTGGAAGAGGGCGGAGGGGCCAGCAGCCATCTCTTCTGGAATCTGGCAGGGTTTGGGGACCCACGTCACCCTGGGAGCTGAGCCTAAGCCCTGATCTTTCACTGGGGCTGTCAGGGAGTGGGTTCCAGACTGAGTCCACCTGTGACACGTTCTCTACCGCCACGCCCCAGGGGCCTCTAGAAGCTTCCCAGTCCCCAGAGCGACAAAGGCTGGGCTCCGGCCTCCCGTCAGCGCTGCCCTAGCCTTCAGCAGCAGCCCAGAGCCGGGCCACCCTACACAGCCAGCCTCCATCAGCTGCCAGAGACAGCTTCCCATGGCGGGGCGGGGGGACACACTCCCCTGGAGCCAGAAGGAGAGGAAAAGCCCTGGAGAAGGCGGAAAAGAGGAAGCGGAGATGGAGAAGGCCTGCAGGAAGTAGGGGTGGTTTGACTGGGGGAAAAGCGCAGGGGCGAAGAGCGGGGAAAGAGCAGGCGGGATGGGGGTGGAGGTGGGGAGGGCAGGCCTCGCGGTGTGGGGCGGGGGAACTGCTCTGCTGGCGCGAGCAGGGCTACTGAAGCAGGAGCAGAGAAGGCAGGCGGGGCTGAGGCAGCCCGGGCAGGGGTTGACGGGGGCGGGGGCGGGAGAGACCGGGGAGGCAGGGGACCAGGACGGAAGGAGAGGGGGAAGCTGTGTGCCTGCCCTGCCTCCTGATCCTGCCACGTCTCTCCGGAGTCGCCTGCTCACAACCCACACGCGGCACGAGGGTCCATCCCCCCACCACGCCCAGGGCAGTGCCCTGGGAGGGGCCAGACCTGGTCACCCCCTCACCTCTTCCTCTACCCTCTGCCAGATGCCTGCAGGGGTGCCCGTGCCCGCAGGGGAGACACAGGTCCCTGGCAGGTCCGCGCGACACCTACCTGTGTACTCAGGAAAGCAGATGGTCAGAGGTGACTTCTTGATCTTCTCACCAAAGAGATCTTTCTTGTTGAGGAAGAGAATGATGGAGGTATCGATGAAGAACTTGTTGTTACAGATGGAGTCGAAGAGCATGAGAGACTCGTGCATGCGGTTCTGCAGCCCCAGGCGGGGAGGGAGAGAGCCAGACAGACAGCGAGAGGGACAGACACGGAGACAGGGAAA